CAGCAGCTATTTATAGAGGCTGCTGGGATAACAACTACTCAATAACTAAAATAACAACTACTCAATAACTAAAATAACAGCAACCAAGAACTAACCGTTTAACTAACTAACCGACATAACCTACTAACTACATCAAAATGTAAACGAACAATAAACATCATAAACAAAAATTAAGGGGAGTTATAAAAGCCTCCAAGTTTGAACAAATCATACTCGAAGAATAATCGATGAATAAATTAGAAAGCGCACACCATTGAGAAGCCTTAAACTTGGCTAAGTTGAAAACATCAACCGAAGCTCTTCTTTTCCCCTCAAAAGTCCTTTGATTCCTTTCAAACCAAACGTCGGACAGCAAAGCTTCGACTCCATTGCACCAAAGAAGACCTGCCTTCGGTGAAAGCCTCAAACCAATTAACAAAGAGTGAACAGCCTTTGAAACATTGAAGTCAAAAACCCAAGAGACCTCAAAGATCTCGAAGAATAGTTTCCAACAAAAAGTAGAATATGAACAATGGAAGACTATATGTTGCTGGAACTCACAAGAACTGCTGCACAGTGAACAGTGCATACATATGTACAAACTAGGAGAGGTGAACCAGCCAAGAGGATCTAAACCGTKWATACTCTCCACTACCTTCCTCCAATGAGAGTGTGATTCACTAGCAAACCGCCAGCCCCATTTAGCAAGGAGTGCATTATTACGTCTCATAAGACCGATACATTTGCTTTTCAAACACAACATTCAATGAATGAAATTTCAGATTGAGTTTAATCTCTCTCAAGCTTTAAACTTTCTTTGTATTCKTGTGTTAGAATGAATGTTTTAGAACTTCCAATCTAGTTTGATCAGTTAGATTGTGGAGAGTTCGAAATCTTGAATATAGGAACAAGTTCTCCTTTATTATTGATCTTTGATCATATTTTTCCAAGTAAAAATCTGTTTAGCTTTCTTCGGGTGGTTTATCATCTATTTATTGGGGTTATTCTTATTATTGYCGTGGGGGTTCATCTTGTATAAGGGAGTTCTCAAGCATAATTGAGGTAGTTCCTTTATCAAGCCTTCTAGCTGAGATGACTTTGAAGTGTGGACTTTTCACGTCACAGCAGTGGTGCTTTCAAAGATAAATCTCTTGTTCCCAAGATTAAAGCTCATTTCACAAATACCATATTGAAAGCAAATTATCCTAAAAAGGTAAAGGTTTTCCTATGGATTTTTAGCCAAAAGAGCCTGAACGCTTGTGCCAGGTTGCAAATAAGGATGCCAATGATGTCACTGTCCCTTATTGGTGTGTTATGTCCAAAAGAGCCCTGGGAAGTCATGCTCATCTTTTCTTCCTCTGTCCCTTCGTTAAGGCTGTTTATTCCATTCTTTTTACCTTCTTTGGCCTCAGTTAGTGTTGGCCCAAGACGTGGAGCAGCTCTTACTCAGAGTATGGTTTGCTCCCCCTTAAATGGGCAAGTGGGAGAAATTTGAATTAAACAGTGGCTGACAGTTTTTTGGACAATTTGGCAGTAGAGAAATCAATGGATTTTCAAAAGCATCAAAACCGGCATGGAGTTTCGAGATCACACTAGGCTTTTCTCCTCAACTTGGTGCACCTTAGCTAAAACCTTTTGTACTTATGATATGTTTAGAAAGTCAAAGCTGAAATTTAGGAGAAATTACTTCAAATTTATTTCCTTGTATACTATSTAATTTAAGTTTTCCTTGTAGATCTAGATTGATACCTAATTTCTAGTCTTTTGATTTAAGGTACTCTTGTATATATTTTCATCCTACTGTATTGAGAATAATAAGAAAAGTTCTTTTCTCTCTTTTTCTCCAGAGGTCTATTGCGCTTTAGTGCGCCTAGAGCTTTTTAAAACACTGGACATTCCTAATGAAAGACAAATCTGAAACTAGCCAATTATTCACAACCTTTCATAAAATGATCCAAAATCAGTTTCAAGTCAATATCCAATTACAGAAAACTAACAATGCACGTGACTTTTTCAACTCTTCCCTTGGAACATATCTCCAAACTCATGACATTGTTCACCAAAGTTCTTGTATTGACACACCATAACAAAATGGTGTCGTTGAACACAAAAATCGTCATCTTCTCGACGTAGCCCATCCCTAATGCTCACATCACACATTCCAAAATATTTTTGGGGTGAAGCTGTTCTCACTGCGACCTATCTCATAAACCGATTGCCCTCCCGTACTCTCAAATTCAGCACACCCTTGCAAAGTTTACTGACGATCTATCCTACATCTTATYTGGTGTCCCAACTACCATTAAAAATATTTGGATGTACTGCATTTGTTCATGTATATCCTCAGAATTGTAGTAAACTTGATGCGAGATCCATAAAATGTGTCTTCCTTGGATACTCATCAAATCAAAAAGGATATAAGTGTTATCATCCTCCATTTCAAAAATTCTTTCATACCATGGATGACACATTTTTTGAACATCAACCATATTATCCCAATTCTGTAATCCAGGGGGAGCATTATGATCTTGAATCACAAAATTGGGAYTGCACTCCTGTTTTTCCTGTAGTAACTTTAAATCTATCATCTGAAAGTTCACTTGTACCATCTTCTGAGTCAACTCCCTTATCTACCCCTGAGCCTGAATTGCAAGTTTATTCACGAAGAGCGAGACAACCTGAGAGGACTGAGATACAATCTACACAAGTTCAGCAAAGCCAAGATCTAAACCAAAATCCTAGTGTCCTTGAAATAGCACACAAGATGTCAGAAGATGATAGACCCATTGCTGTAAGGAAAGGTGTTCGCTCATGTACTCAACATCCCCTACAATATCACTTATCTTACACTAATTTGTCGCCATGTTTCAAAGCTTTTGTGACTTCACTAGATCAGATACAAACTCTCAACTCAGTTCAAGAAGCTCTACAGAGACCTGAATGGAAAGCTACCACCCTAGAAGAGCTACATGCTCTGGAGAAAAATGGGACTTGGATCCTTACAGACTTACCCCAGGTAAACGCACAGTTGGTTGTAAATGGATTTTTTCGACCAAAAACAAACCAGATGGTAATATAGAGCGGTTAAAAGCTCATCTTGTGGCTAAAGGATTCACCCAAGCTTATGGGATTGACTATCAGGAAACGTTTGCTCCAGTTGCCAAGTTGAATACTATTAGGGTACTTCTCTCTATTGCGACAAATCTAGATTGGCCCATGTTTCAACTAGATGTAAAGAATGCATTTCTAAATGGCGATTTAGTAGAGGAAGTGTACATGGCCATACCTCCTAGATTTGAGAACAGGTATACTAGAGGAAAGATATGGACTAAAATAGTCACCTCGGGCTTGGTTTCACAAATTTACAGTTATGTTAAAACAAGATGGCTATACTCAATGTCAATCCGACCATACCCTCTTCATCAAGCTTTTCTCACCAAGTAAGATCACTGTATTAATAGTATATGTTGATGATATAATTCTCACAGGAAATGTTTCTAAGGAGATGATTCGACTGAAGCAACTTCTCTCAAAGAAATTTGAGATCAAAGACTCGGGACACCTAAGGTATTTCCTAGGAATGGAAGTCGCAAGATCTAGTAAAGAGATTTCTATTACTTAAAGAAAGTACACACTARATCTCCTAAGAGAAACGGGGATGAGTGGCTGCAAACCAACAGATACACCTATGATGCAAACTCAAAACTTGGAGTTAATCTCGAAGATGAACCAGTTGATCGAGGCAGATATCAACATCTAGTTGGGAAGCTTATATACTTAACTCATACGCGACCAGACATTCAGTTAGTGTGGTAACTCAATTCCTGAACAAACCTTCAAAGGAACATATGGAAGTTGTGTATAGAATATTGAGATATYTGAAGCACGATCCTGGAAAGGGACTCATGTTCAGGAAGACCACAAACCGAGCTCTTGAAGTCTTCACTGATGCACATTGGGCCGGATCTCCAATTGACTGGAAGTCAACATCAGAATATTGTTCATATGTATGGGGGAACTTAGTAACCTGGCGCAGTAAGAAACAACCGGTTGTAGCCCGAAGAAGTGCTGAAGCTGAGTTTCGATMATTAGCACATGGGATTTGTGAAGGAATTTGGTTAAAACGCCTTCTCACTGAGCTCAAGATCAAGATTGAAGGTACTATAGAGGTACTATGTGACAACCAATTTGCCATAGCCATCGCAAGAAATCCAGTACATCATGATCGGATGAAACACGTTGAAATAGACCGTCATTTCATCAGTGAGAAGATTGAGACGCAGCAATTAACCTAAGATATGTGTCCTCCCAACAACAAGCAGCTGATATATTAACTAAGGCATTGCATCGAACCAAGCTTATTTGATTGATTTCGAAACTTGGAATGACGAGCATATATCATCCAGCTTGAGGGGTAGTGTAGAAAGTCAAGTTGAAATTTAGGAGAAATTACTTCAAATTTATTTCCTTGTATACTATGTAATTTAGGTTTTCCTTGTAGATCTAGATTGATACCTAATTTCTAGTCTTTTGATTGAAGGTACTCTTGTATATATTTTCATTCTATTGTATTCAGAATAATAAGAAAAGTTCTTCTCTCAAAAAGCTTCATGTAACATATCTCTACCAATTGGGATTCATTTTTGTAACCCTTTAGTCYAGGGGATATTTCATCTCCCCCTCTTGTAAAGTTTGGCTTTTTACTTATGCAAGCTTTTCTCTGCTCCTATTAAAAAAAGGGTACAAAGCAAGACCCAGATGTTACATGAAGGTTCCCAGTTGACCATTAAGGCCTAAAATCTTAACAATCCAATTTTACAAAATTTAATACATGATATAAGAACCCTAATGAATAATCGTTTTACAGTCACCGATCCCATAACTTAAAAATTTATCAATCCTACATGTAATTCAATGTTTCACAACATCARCAACAGTCGACGAATGTTATTGTTGCTATTATAAATACAACAGCAGCAGTGAAGAGAATCTAAAGGGCATAAGAACACTGACTTGGATAACACAATTAATTCCCACATTAAGTAAATAAAAGTGATAGTGATTTCCATTCGAATTTACCCCCATCAACAAAATTGCCTCCGTGCGAGCCTCCTCTGTTTGTGGAACATGCATATTCATCTCATCGCCATCAAAATCAGCATTATATGGATTGCAAACAGATTCATTGAATCTCAATGTTCTCCAAGGCATAACTCTCACCTGCACCAATTACATGCTAAAATCTAATGCCACAAGAAGTAAATATAAAAGTTCAGTCAAAAACATCTCAGAAAGACAGTTTAATCACCCTATGACACATGATAGACATTCGATGTAGACTAGGCTGTCTGTTGAAAAGAACAATATCTCCATCTTCAAGATGACGTTCAACTATTTCACCATATTTCAATTCATCAGCAAGGCGCTTTCTACCAGAAATCATCAACGACCTACAATGAAAGTAAGAAAACACTGAACATCCAAGGCAACAAATTAATAACAAAGTTTGTGTAACAGGATTATGATAAAATTTTTAACCTCATAGAACCATCAAGATGCCTAAGCATCCTTGCACCAGGATATTTATCGGGACCATTGCTAACACATTGTCTCAACTTCTCTATATTGTGACTAGTAACTCGTTCAGGATAAGTTAGAATTCGAGCCATGTGTATGGGAACTGCAACCTAGATGTAGCAAACAAAGAGCATGAGGTAAAATAAGTCAATGCAATATTATTAAATACTCCAAACATAATCGACTTAAGCACAGTGTCCTCACCTCCGTAATTTTTAAATTAGGATCAGGCGATATAACAGTTCTACCAGTGTACTCAACACGCTTCCCACATAAATTTCCTCTAAACCGCCCTTGCTTCCCTTTCAGACGCTGAACAAAACCAGCCAACGGTTTGCTAACTTGCATTGTAAATGGTATACCGCGAACATCACTATTTATTAGTTGTGCAACTTCACTTTGAAGCATATCCCAAGATTCCTAGACAAAAAWAATAATAATAATAAAAACCCACATGAAATGAAGCATAAGTATATTGTTCACATAATTATCTACAATATTACTCTTCATTCAATAGTAAAATAAATAGTCAAAAATGGATAAATATAAAAATACATTTGAGAGAGATTTTTTTCATGTCACTCATTAATAACAAATTTTTTGTTTAAATTTTTTTGCTACATCACCCATAAAATATTACAAAACTATTTTTTGCCACATAAGCATAAAATGTAATATAAATTAATATTAGATGGACCTTATCAGCATTGGTTAGGGTTCCCAACGATTCTGTTATCTCAAGGACTAAAAATGAACATTATTGAAACTTTACATATAAAACTATAAAATGTTGAAGCCTAAGAACCAAATAGAAATTAAACTCAAAATTCAGGAATCAAAACGCTATTCTTTCCCAAAAAAAAAAAAATTGATTTTCAAATTAGTGAAATTCAAAGAAACAAAAGTATACCACATTCATTTTTCGATTTTTTTTTTAAGCATGTATTCATTTTGAACTTGGTCATATTAAAATAGCATAAATATATGGTATTTAATTTTTATCTTCGTAATTTTATAATAACCTTGAAAATGTATTTTTTTATGTTAGTCAAACTAAAATAACAGAAGTAGTGCCCCCAAAAAAGGCAGCCCGATWGGCAATGGCTTGGAGTCTCTTGATGGCTTATAGGTCTCAAGTTCGAACCTTCTGGTGAGCTTAATACCAAAAACC